GCCTGGCGTCAACACACACACACACACACACACACACACACACACACACAGCTGCATGTGAGTTGTGGGATGTTAATTGCGACAGTCACAGTGCAGCAGCAGCATCTGTCATTAATAAAAAGTCAAGAGCCAATTGAACAGTTGACTCTTATAGGCCAAACGAGCGCGTCACTACAGAGAATAGAGGATGCATACATGCAGCGCCGCTGAACAAACACACACACACTCGCTCTGTTCACACACACTTGAGCTCTTCACAGGATGAACACATTCAGTGACAATCATAAACGATCTTCACTGAATCACAAATGAACCAACCGATCAGTTGGCTGCTCCAGTGACGAAACTAACAGCTGATCTGAGCAAACACTAGAGCTGATGGCGTTTCACACACACACACACACACACACACACACGACGGTCCAGCTGTTTAACAGAGACATGTAAACCAGCACAACAGCACTAACAACCCACTAGTTACACTATAATCCGGTCAGATGGCCTGACTGATGATCAATGGTCACATGGCACGCAGGTAAACTAAATATTATACTTTTTTCATATTTTGTTTTATTTTGATGTTTTTATGACTTGATTTTAATTTTATTTCAAATAAAATGTTTTTTTTTTGTTTTATTTTGATTTGCTTTTATTTTAAATTTGTTTGTTTTATTCTGATCTCACAGCAGGAGTAAACACACACACACACACACACACACACACACACACACTCTTGTGCTGTGCTCGAACACCAGCACTACATCACAGTGACACCGGAGCGAGAAACTCCTCCTCTCTCTCTCTCTCTGTGTTTCGCTCTCTTAATTACACAGTAAATCAGACAGACCTGCAGTGACTCTATTAAACACACACACACACACACAGCTCTCTCCCCGCTACACACTGAACGAGCAAACACACACACACACACACACACACACACACACTGCTCTGACGGCTCGAGACCGACATCACGGAGTTCCTCCACTCATCAGTGCTCACTACATAGAGACCTTCTTTCACTTCCACATGAAGCAGGTGTAATGTTCTGTCGTATTACATCAATAACTCTGAACGTCAGTCATGTGATCACCTGCACGGCCCTACGGCCCAATCACAGCTCCGATGATACTCAGAAGAACCGTGAGTGTGATGTTATGAATCACATCGACACACTGTTCACCAGAGCCTCATTAACCAGCAAAGTCATCACGGGAGCATGATGGTTATACCATGGTACTGAATGTTTACCATATTCATTCATTCTTGTGGAACCTGAAAGAATACCGTGTTATTACACTCGAACTATGACACTTTTTGTTAGCAATATGAATTACAAATGCTGCCGACCAACAACGCTGACCAGAGGAATCAACATATGCTAATTAGCCACAATGTATCATTTACGCATATGCTAATTAGATCACTCAAAGAAGTGTTTACAAAAGCTGCTTCAAAAATCAGAATCATTAAACAACCAAAAACAAGCTATAGGAGTTGACTACAGAATTCATTATGTAATGGACTATAGAGCTCACTACAGAAATCACTAGAATTCTGTATAAAATTCATTATAGTTTACTATGTTTACAATAGAATTCACTACAGAGTTTATTACAGAATTCACTAGTTCACTTTAATGTTCACTAGTTAATTCACTATAGAACGCTCTAGAAGCTCCCTGATAAAAACATGTACATGTGGGTGAAATTAATAAAATCTTATATCAAGAAATAATTGACTTTCATTCATTTAAATCACAGTAATGATACACGTCATGATATAGTCATTGTATCAGTGAAGCTGCTTTGAAGCGATCACGAAAAGTGCTGCATAAATAAACCTGACTTGCCTTGTTAATCAAATTTCTGACATGAAACAATATTGAAATGCATGACAGATGCTGGCGGCTGCTATTGGCTGAAGCGGCTGGACAGGCGTCCAATCAGAGCGGCTCAACTCCACGTGGCCGTGGACAGTGAGGTCGTCTGCTCATGACACGACTGTTTGTTTCCAGGTCAGACTCAAACTCTGAGCTCGACAGACAGCTCCGCGCTCCTCTGCTCATTTATCTTCCCTCTCGATTATGTAACAGGAGAATCTTATCAAATATTAATGTTGTGTGGAGAGAGACAGAAGAGAGAAAGCAGACAGTTCGACGCTCTCGTTGCTGTTACAAAATCTCTTTCCCAGGTTACACTGCAAGACTCCAGTCTGAGATTACATCACAGCGTCGCCACACGGTTTGCATGAGATGCGCCCATGTGCGGCTCATGAGTCGCCTCGAAACACAACGAAGAGGATGCTTAAAGGAAGTCGCTTTGGATAAAAGCATCTGCTAAATGCAGAAACGTAACTGTAAGACCAGTAAGAGTTTCTGTATTGTAACATTAAACACATCTTTACTTCAGCCAGAGTTTGTCATTTTTGCATCAAAGCAATAATTCATGATGATTCAAATCAACAAATGATTCATGGAGAATTAAAAAAAAAATGTTTTAATTACATATATATATATATATGTATGTGTGTGTGTGTGTGTGTGTGTGTGTGTGTGTGTGTGTGTGTGTGTGTGAGT